CAGATATGATATTAGTTCATGTATAATTGTGTTTGCAGTGTTTACAATGGCTGGTATGATGATGTTGCTCGGACTTTTCCCGTTAATTTGATATTTAATATGTCTGGAGCAATAATCATATTTCTTTGTGAAAAATGCTTTCTACGACACGCTGAATGCTGCACACTCTAAAACAGCCCCCCGTGGGGGGCTCTCGGGTCCTATGGGTTTTAATACATAAAGAGCAGAAAATCGACTCGCCGCTGGTAAAGAGTTAACAATGAATAGGAGAGTTGAACTTTTCAGTAAATGTTTTAGATATTTATACCATATGGTGTAACATTTTTTTATGTTTTGTATATTTTATGTTCAAGCCTGTGTGCATGTTTCCCTTGGCTGCAACATACATTTATATTTGGGGACAAATATGGAGAAACATGGCCATGCAGTAATTCGTCTCTGTATTAACATGAGCAGGGAGTAAACAACAAAACATGCTCTAATCCCCAGAAAAGCACCATCTGTAAAGTCTAAGTAAGTTTCCAGCTGTTTTTTTCTTCATTTCTTTTGTGGAGCTCTACGTGACTGTGGCATCACTGTCGGACACACTTCCTGTCTTGTTTTCTGGCTAAATCTGTGGATTTGGTGGATAAATTGTCCTGACACAAAAGAATAACATTTAAGAAACTGTTATGTTTCATGCCTCAGCTGAATTATGAGCGAGCTGAAATGGGAAAAACCTGCTGTGTACTGTGAGCCGGTCACTCAGTGACTCTATTATTCAACAAAAGATACCCTGATTGCAGCACTTCACACTGAGGCTGAACACACAAGTCACACAGGACGCTGCCATAATGTCAACGCAGCACACGGTGATAACAAGAAGGAACCGCTGGCCTCGCACGTGCATCAGGAGCAGTGGAAAAAGCTGCCACACACACATACGTGATGACAGAAGTAAACACTTAATGCTACTTGTGTACTCTGTCCAACCAGCCATATTGTGACACAGTATTATTCTCCTCTCATATGACGTTTCAGTCGAGCAAGCTGAGGACTGTCTGAATACTACATTCTTTAAATCAAAGCAGCAGACACCGAGATGTCCTGACGTTTAGTCCATATAATTGGATGCGACATTTCCCATAATGCAATCTGATCGATCAATCTCATTATTAGACCCTCTTTGCCTGGTGCAAGTCTCAGTTTGTAATTTATGTTGCCTATACTACATTTATAGGCTCTAAGCCCAAACAAGATAACCCTGATGACATCAGTCATCAGTTTTACAAAGCTCCTCTAAGCAACATGCAACCGGCTGAGTAATACTCCCCATGATGACTAAACTGATCGTCGCGTGTGAAGTCAGCGGCCCCTTTAATGGATGAATGGGCAGTTGTGATTGTGGCGAGAGCTTGGTGAGAAAGTCCAGAATCCAGTAGCCAGTGGATGTGGGCAGACTGATATCAGCTGGTTTTATAACCAGCTCAGTGGGCGTGAGTGTGTTAAAGGCTGAGCCATACAGTCCAACAAGAAGAGCATGCACAATGGAAGTGAAAACGGGATGCATCGAGTCTCATTGGTGGTCCAGAGTACAAGTGCAGTTAACGCCAGAACAGTGAGCTAACCTTTCAAACTTAGTCTGGACTTGACATCAAGATCAGAGTCAAAAAAACAAACATGACGGAAAGGCCACGCGCCTGTTCATCCAGCCAGCTGAAGTAAAGTTTCATATCTGAGTATCTCCAACATTTCCAGTCTGTCTGGGAGTACTCATCTTTAATTCATGAAGACAAGCACACGTTGCCGATCCTCCAGTACACAAAGAATAAACTAACCAAGACTCTGCCGCTGGAAACCTGCCCATCAGCTCAAACAAGCAATCTGCCAAGAGCAAACACGGCAACACCTTATATTCAACAGCCACAAAAGGATGCATTATTATTTATGTAAGTGTTGTGTTATTGTTATTAATGGCTGTGCTGACGTAGAGATGTCAACAACTGTCTGACAGTAACGTTTTTTTTAATATGAATCTTTTGAACAGTTGCGTCATTTCTGTCTGTGTTTGTGCCCACGGCGAGAGCAAATGTTGATTTGTATTCTAAATCTGGAGACAATTAGCTGCTGGAGCAGAAATCAAAATGCCAGAGCTAGTCATGATGTAGGTCTAAGGGATACAGATTTCAGCTGCACAATGGTGTTTTGACAGGGAGCAGGGAGACAGAAAATAGTAGAGCATGGAATTATTGGACGGAGCTCACTTTCTCTCTTCATCTTCCCCGTTCTCTCTGCCCACATTTCCCACATCTGTAGAGCAGATTATTCTGGTGGTGGATGGGTGAGATTAACCCCTAATAAGACTCCACATTAACACCTCGCCGCTAGTGTGTCTGGCTGTCTACGGTATGACAGATGAGCTGCTGAAAGCCTTGTGGTACACGGTGGAGCAACAACACACACCTCCTCCAGGTCACGGAGCAGGGAACAAGGTAACCTTTGGATTTGACTTTGTTTTTTTACATCTACATCTCTGTCTCATGTGCCCACATCCACACCGTCACATCCCTCCTCCTTACATCTCCCTTCTTTTAGAGGCCCTGTGAGAACTAGACATACACACACACACACACACACACACACGATTCCTAGAAGAGTTGGGCCTTTGCCCCTCAGCCGGGGTACATTGGCTTCCCCTGTGTGAGAGTAGGAACATACAGTGTATTATGAATTCATGGTGCATGTCTTGGAATGCAATGATCCATGATAGAATGGGTCCACGCAGACTGAGGACCACAGGCAACATGGGACAACACACACACAAAAGACACATGACATGTGAAGAGGCATGGAAACAGGCAAAAACACAAATACAAACACAGGTTTATGCCGAAATAAGCACGCAAATTCTTGCTCGAGGAGTCGCACGCATACACATTCAGGCCAGCATACCATCTGGGGGTACAAAGATACACAAATCATGACATTCATTTTCTCACACACGCACTCTCAAGTCTTAGAAAATGGCATTTATGGATGCCACCTGTCCATATGGGATCTGATAAACACACCAGGGTCTGTCCTGTTTAGTTGAATTAAGTCTGTAGTAACACACGGCACCAGCCTTTCTCCTTTGCTTTGACTTCCTGCACAGCCCCTCCTCTCCTCTCCAGCGGTCCCATCCAACACACACATGCATGCACGCGCGCACACACACACACACACACACACACACACACACACATATACAGGGGTTGTCTCCGCTTCTAGTGGAAGTTATCCATCACATTTTTCATTCCCTTTCTCCATGGAGTCCCTCACAATCACCTCATCTTTCCTCATCACATCTGCCAAAACATTTCTCTCACGCTCAGCACTGATGGTTTTCAAGCGTTCCCCCTGTAAAACCTTCTTCCACTTTACTGTATTGACACAATGTGGACTTTTAGGTTCAGGCCATCCCAGGTTCAGGATTGCAGTTAATGATTATTTTCATCATCGATGTATTTGCCGATTATTTTCCCAAAACATGTCAAAGAATGTCAAAAAATAATATAGAACCTGTCTGTTACAAGATTTTAAACACAGAAAAGCAGCAAATTCTCCCATTTGAATGCCAAAAACAACTCAAACAATTGGTTGATTCTTATAATAGTTAACTGCTGTTGTATTTTACTGTTCTGTATAAACTTCATTGTTCTACTTCATTTGATTCTAACTTGGACAGTCATCTCCTACTGTATTTCCCACCGTGCTTTTTAACAAATGGATCAACAAAAAACTATTGGCTGAGAAAAACTAAGGTTATTAAGTGATGACTCGGAGCAATTTAGTGCAACTCTGAGCTTTAAATTAAGACTTTTAGTACACATTGACGCCTATACTGAGGTCTGCCTTTAACGTGTTGCTGAAAAAGACGCCCCTTCTGCAAAATCATAAATCAACACCACCGTGTCCAACGAGAGCGACTGAATCAGAAAACACAGACATCTTTATTTGAAAAAGATCCCTAAAGCGTCATAAGACAAACGCTGGATCAGGGCTGACAATATCAGACACAAAGGAAATATTCTTTTGAAAACTTAAAACTAACCAACATTGTGGTTTGAATTGAGCCACACAGGATATCTGGATTGGATATAGATGGCAAGCATGCAGAGCGCGCTGAAAAACAAGTACATGTTGAACATGACATGGAGAAATATGGCCGACTACGTTTGAGTCCTCACTGCCAAATGATTTGCTATAAATGTTCCATCCAAAAGTACAGAAAACTAAATACAAACGCTTCATTTACTAATGAGCCAGAGTCAGTTTTATGGGTTTTGGCTGACATGTGGAACTTAAATGCTCTGTGTTCAGTAAAACGAGGATAAATGAGGCCGACACAAATGGAAACTATGCCTGCTATTTCAGTGGTATCCAGTGTTTGCCTGAGTCAATGAGTCAAATTCTTACATTCAGATTATTGGGTTTGGATCCCTATAATTATAACGTTGGATTCATTTAGTTCTGATGGCGGTGCTGCAGGAATGCTGTAATCACTCCAGTGTTTTTTGACCAACCTTTAACAATTGGAGGTATTGGCTGCTGGAGACTCCCAATGCAATCAAGAATGTAAGCAGGAGATACACAACCAAGTAAAAACATTATAGTAGGTGTTTATTTCAGTCAAGAGAGTTGTTAAAAGGCTTTTATTACTGTTTGAATACTTTAATTAACAAAGTAGATATTGGAGGAACTGCAACATTACCCAATAGGTCTCAGAGGGAAATGTGTAAATATATAGCAACCTGAACACTGTGCGTGTGCTGCCTTCTAGTGGCTTCAGTGCAACACAACTATTGGACGACACAGTTTACAAACACTATATTGACTCAACCTTCAAACAGCTTCTTTTCTTAGCAATATCTTCTTGTTTCAGTATGTAAAACAATAATTGATTAAAATGTATGTCAGTGTTAAACGGTGAAAAGCATCGAATGACTTTTCCTCCGGGGTCTTGTGTGGCAATGAAACTATTCTATAAAAACTGGAGGGTTTAAAAGTAATTTTTATTTTGCATATGAATGTTCATTAATAACAAAAACTGAAAAGTGTTGACTAAAATGACACAAACCTGTAAATACCAGAACTAGAACGACATGCATTAAAACGTCTCTGTATTTAGATGCATCTGTGTCGGCAAAAACACACCACTGTTGTAATTAAAATAGAATAATTTATACAGAGAAAACTGACAGTGACATTTTGTTAATCTAAAGTCATAAGTCATATGATACGTTTCCAAAACGTGTTCAGAACAAACAAAGATGGGAACAAACTAAAAACACAAATGACAGGGAGAACTCCGCCACACTTCCATCGTCTCTGAGAGGCCTCTACCCCCCCCACGTTACAGACTGTCTGCCTTCGACATGAAGCTCTTCAAAGTTTCCCTCAGCTTCTGCAGAGCAGCTTCATCCTCTTCCACAGCCTTAGAGCAGACGCGTTGAACTCTGCCGTGCAGATCCTCCAGGCACTTCTGTTGTACACAGGAGCAGATGGGTTATAATACACACATTAATGTATTAGAACAATACAAACACAGGTACAGGTGCAGTATGAATAACGATGCTATCAGATCAATATGCACGGAAAGCCTCAAGATGTTGAGTCACTGCTACAGTCACATCTAAACAGCGAAAGGCGTATGACGTTGTTACATCAGTCATGTGCTGGTGATGTTCGCGCTAAAACAAATTGAAGAATGCCTGACAAATAGTTTCTTACCTCTGTGATTGACAAGTGGTTAGCAGCTGTGGTAAACACAGATGCAAGGTTATTGGCTACTGTCCGCCGCTCCTCATTGGTCTCCTGCAGCACCAGGTGGTACCTGAAGAAGAGACGACCACAAAAAGACTCATCGGTTAGACTGAAACAAACAGAAAAGCTCACACATCATGAAAATGAGAAGAAATGAGGCAGCGGCATTGAGATGAACACGTTAACGTACAATGCTTTGTTCTGTAGTGGCCGTAGGCTCCAGCAGGATGAAGTCATCCTGAAGACATAAATGTTGTGGATAGATATAAAACATTCACTCACTGCTGTTGCGCTGCCTTCAGGTGTTGCACGGACTCGTCGTAGCCATAATTAACCTTCTTCTCCATAGTCGTACGATGGTTCTCCACCGTCTCCACCTCGGCTGCCCAGTCCTGCTCCTCTTGGGCGAGCTCCTTGGCAGACACAAGCACACAGGAAACCAACCGTCACTACATGAACGATGCACCTGTGCACACTGCGTGTCACCAACATGTTGAAATGTTTCCTCATACCCGTTTTTCCCGCCCGACACGTGATATCTGCTGAATGCAGAATGGCATAAAGCAGAATGAACTTTACCTGCATGTCAGAATCCAACCTTTCATCCAGCTTGCGGATCTGCTCTCTCAGCTGCTTTAGGTCATTGGACTTGTCCAAGAGGTTAGAATTCACCTTAAAGACACACACACACACGCATAAAAATAACAAATGTGATTTTAAAATAATATGCACTTTGGTATATTGTGTGTCACTGCGAGAAAAGGTTAGTAGCGTGCAAGATGTTGTTACCTGTTCACTCGACTCCTCCAGACTGAGTTTCATGTTGGCTAATCGACTGTTCTCTTCCTCCACGTCACTCACCAGCTTTCTCAGGAGCATCTACAACATGCAGCAGAGATATTAAAAAACGTCATCATCACAAATCTAATGTCCAAGGCCTACAATGGCGTAAACATTTAAATAGAACATGTCTAAAGCAACAAATAACTGGAAATAACCAAAGCATTGGGTTAGTAACCTAGTTCATACTGAACTGAATTCAGATCCACAATAGAAAAGTCTGGTCTTGTGCAGATTTAAGATGCAGATCATTCACCAGAAGTACCTGTATCTGTGTTTTGTGTTGAACCATGCTGCCGGGTCCACAATCAAAAGGCCTGATCTCAAAATCATGACCACAGGCGTTCTCTGCAGACAGTGGGATCAGCTTGAGTTTACGTGCCAGCTTGTGGTACTCTGCTACCCTCAACTCCGCCTGGGTTTGAGGAAAGTAACAAGAAGGGAAGGGCAAGGAAACAAGTTCAATCAAAGCCGCTGGATGAAGAACATCTGCTATTGTCAATCTATATTGACTACAAATGGGGAGCAGAATATCATAGTTCAATATCAAATATTAAGAAGGCTGAGTCCTATGTCACATTCACCATCTTTAAAAAAAAGGTAGTACTCCTGCTCCTCTGTGCATACAGTACCTTCTCTTTGACTTTGGCCAGAGCGATCTCCTCGTTCCACTTGTGCTGTTCAGCGTCTTCAAGAGACTTGCTGTGGCTGGAGATGGTCTGTTGGAGTTCTCTCTTCTCTCGGTTGATCCTCTCGACGTCAGCTGGAGTGAACTTCTGGTTCTGCAGGCGGAGCTGCAGTTCATTTTGCTGACGTTTTAGAGACTCCAGGTGACTGCCTGCAAAGATAAAAAAGGCCCATAAATGTGTAGTTCCAGTTACTTGCACAGCAGTAATTCAGATGTCTTCATGGTGACTTAACACGGAGATCCAGACGTATCAGACCCAGTGAGTCCTATTAAAGAGCCGACTGACTGACTGGGTCATATTTACCAGTGGTCTCCAGCTCATCGCTCAGCTCTGAAGCTCTGTTGTCCAGGTTCACTTTGAAGGACTCCAGGTTGCTTCGATAACTCTGGAGCTTCTTGAGGTCGGCCTGCAGCTTCACTCTTTCCATTCTCTTGGTCATGAGACGGTCCTGTCCAGGAGGAGACAGAAAATCATATGTGTGATTTATTGTTACTCACACTGAAGATGTTTCATATTACTGAGTGAGTGACCAAAAACAACCCAAAGTATTCTGGCTAATAATTGGAATATCCCCATCTCACCGTTACCACTTAGAATTATAACAGCATCATTTCTTTCACTGTATTTCATAAATGGTAATGTGAATATCAATATTTTAAAATCATAACTGAATGTGTGCACATGTAAATATAAAGGTCTCCTAACCGTGTGGCTCTCCTTCTCCAGCAGTTCGACCTCCTCACTGAGTATCCTGTACTTCTCCTCCATCGAGGCCAGCAGGGCCTCGTCCACGTTGTACAGTTTCTCTGTGAATAGAACACTAAATATTAATTGAAACTAACAATTAACATTATGCTTGGATATACATACAAAGCAATTAATTCTTTAAAAAACAACTAATTTCATGAGAGAGATGCTGTGCTTACTTAGTTTATTGAGGAACAATTCATCCACATCATCAAATGAGTCTTGACCCTGCATGAAGATGGAGTACGTCTCAGCTGTGTAGTCCAGGAGCAGCTGCACAGAATGTGAAAGACAAGATACAAATAAACACAACCCTGTAACAAGGAGGTTTTGGTGGTGGATTGTTGACGCTTAAAGAATTCAGAGTACCTTGTTGTACTCGGCCCCCTCCTCGATATTATCGCTGTCTTCACAGAAGTCCCTGAAAAGCAGCTCCTGCTTGCTCAAACACCAGTTGATCTGACACACGGAATAAGCACAACTAGTTTCATCAAACACCAAATGACACAAGTTTAGTTTATGCTGCATGCTCTGCAAATGAACCTGGTTTTATTCCACTGAAACTGTTGTTTTGCTTCTCACCTTGACTTGGTCAATAAGCCACATGAGAGCACCAAGTGCCTGGGGCCAGGTGTGGGGAGCTCCGACAGAATACATTGAAGACTTGGAGAGAACAAATGGATACCTTCCAGAAGCAGGGAGAGAAATAGAGACAGACACTCAGCAATGTGTCTTAAACTAGAGAAAAGGAGCCAGCATCAAGGCCCACAGCCAATGGTAAGCTACCTGCACGGTCACACATCTTGTACCATGACTTTGTTCTATGATGAATCCATTTTTAAGATTTTCTCTCAGCCTCTTTTTTATATCATTGCTAATACAGCCCCATCCATTGAATTGCAGTGATGCTAAACCTTCTGAATACACGTAGCTGGGACACCAAGTGATTCTCATGATGAAAGTTACCTCAGGGCTTTCAGGATAGCTGGAACCTCCTCCTCCACCTTTGAGTTTGGCATCTCAAAGGTTGGGTCGAGCTGACGGTAGACAAACTCAAACACCTTCACAAACTCCTTGGTAGAGGGAGACTGGAGGGTCTTGGCTGACAAAGTGCCCGGGTAACCCTGCTCTGTCAAGAACTGGAGAGACATGAGAGAGAATGTCAGGCAGGGACGAGCAACAGTAGAGATTCACACTCACATTGACCAACACCGCACTGCTTTATGATGCAAATGCAGGTACATAAAATAGGTTGAGCTACAATTAGAAGGTGCTGGAGCCCTTCACACCTTTGTGTGGTAAATGTGTCAGAAATGAAATGAAGTGTGTGTTGCTGGCTGCCAACTGGAATTTTTGGACACAACTACTGAGGGGCATCCACGTCTTTCCTTTCATATACCACACTGTGGATTTAATGTAATGAACATAAAGGGTGTAGCAATGTCATAACCAGCTGACCTATTTGTGTGCGTGCGTGCGTGTACATTACACTTGGGCTGAGGAATACCATGTTTTTACCTCGTGCAACTGTCTGATACATTGCTGAACAAAGGATTTATCATGCAGAGGTCTGGTGTCTTTGATCTTCTCCGTTCCTCCAAACCCTGACATGCTGCTGTTGCGAGGCATGCTGGCTCCTACAGTCCTGCAGGCAAAACAGTAATACACCACCACAATATGAAATATTATTTATCATCTCAAACAATGAATCTGACCCCCTTTATCTTAGGAGGATAATGACGCCTTCTTTAATTTACTCATTACGTAACCCGTGACCACATTTATTCTGCTAATTTTCTAATTAGTGTGTTGTGACACTGGTTTAAATCAAATAAGTAACTAAAGGCACACAGAGGTATTACTCTCTCTGAGATCATACTCGCAGGATATTTATGTACAGAGCTTTCCTTCTACACCGTGTGAGGCAAAGACTATACATGTTGACCACTTTATTTGATCTCATTACTATTGTAATTGTACTGGTACAGTCTGTGGTTATATTGATGTATATGTTCTCAGTCTTTTACAGTTGTTCTTGACACTTTAATAGGAAGTACGTGGTAATGCAAATTTGTATATTTCTAAAATATTATTCACTCACCGAGCACCAAAGAAGCTGGTCCGCCTCTCAGAGGTCACAGACTGCGGTTTGGGTATGTTCAGCTTTCCAAAGGAAGGCTGTTTACTGTAAAAAAACAAAATTATGAACAAATGATATACTCCCCTTGTTGACTCACATTTGCATATGCTGCCACTACCCCATTCTTCATAATTCTTTAAAAATGTGTTTAACTGGGAGAAGCCTCATTGAGATGAAAAATCACAAGACAGGCTGCTGCTTCAGACGAACAACATACAACAGTTGCGAACAATAAAAATGTCTGATCACAGCATGAGTCTTCCAAAATAAGACTCATCGTATCACATAGGGACGAATAACTGTCAAAGCATCTACAACGTGATGTAGCTTCCTTCAACTCCTTCAGGCTATTTTAGAAAACACTTTTAAAGACCAGCTCCCCAAATTAATCTGCAACAAATCCCAAGCCGTAGGAGCAGCGTAGCTAAAAAACTATTTCCTAGATTCAATACGGAAACTGAGAATAGATAGCAAGAGTAAGTCTTGCAAATATGTTACAGAGTGGAGACGGTAGCTTCCAGCATTTTTCAGAAGGATGCATTTACATATATATGAAGAAAGCAAGTTAAAGACTGCCTTATAAGGACACGCCTGTTATTAAGTCTGCAGATGGATGATCCAGGCCAACCAGCCCTGCCATACAGGGAGTGAGGGCCTTAAGATTAGTAATGAACCAAAGTGCTCCGTGTACAGTATCTAAAGAGTGAAGGCTTTGAGAAGATGCATAAATACTGTATATAAAACATCACCAAAGTCAATCACAGACATAAATGTAGCAGCAACAGGTCTGCTTTTGGCATCAAAATAAAAGCAAGACTTATTTCTAGAATAAAAAAAAAACAGCGCAGTGTGTGAATGTGAGGCCTAAAAGAGAGAATCATCAATTAAGAATCCTAAATATTCATAAGAAGATATAGATTCAATCACATTGCCCTGAAACGCATCAACAGATGTCATCACATGTTCACAAAAAAAGTGTCAATATCACCCCATGCCAAACAAATTTGTACAATTGTACAAACCAATGAAGCCTCTAATTTAATAATGTTGGGTCCCAGTTTGTCATAACAGGTATAAGAAATATCATGAAACTAAACCCAGCATCTTAATCTGTCTGCAGTGTATTTCAAACAGAGATATCTCAATGTAATATTCTGGATGTAAAAAGCATTATTAGACGTAGTTAAAGAGTACAGTGCACATCGTTAGTGGGTGTGACTAACATCAGGTTATACCAACCACACCATTAAAAGAGCAGCCTACGTACGTCGTACAGGAAGCAGTATCTTTGCTCACAATATAACTAAAATATATGAATTTATTTTTTGTTTTATGACTTCAAACCAACCTCTTTGGCGTTGTATACGCCATGCTCATCCTGTTGCTGTCTTGCACTCGCATAGGCATCAGCTCCGACGGTCTGCCGCTTGTTGCTCGACTCATCCTTCCACTGGACACAAATAATAATAAAAAAGAAACGGATGCAGTTTGTTGTTGTTATTCTATTGTATTACAAGCTCCGCCAAAATACATACACCTGCATGTTAGAGTACTAATGTCGGTCGCATTTTTTAATTAATGCCGATAACGTTAGATATGGCCACAGCTGGCTAACGTTAACTTATGTCAGTATCTCGGTGTATGCTGGATAGTAGCCTAGCTAAAGCGAGCTAACGTTCCTCGTTCAGTGACCTAAGTCGAATTAACGTCAGTTGTTTTCTAACTAAATCTAATAAGCGTGGTTAGGAAGTAACGTTACATCTTACGTAGCATTGTTTTACGGTTGGTAACATCGTTTAAATTACGGTACCATTAGCTAACTGTAGCTAAAGCCAAGTCACAATAACAGCAACTGACAACAAATTAGGCAAGCTAAATAACACAATGACTTAAAAAGCTTATCTTAGCAACTTTAAAACGTACCGCTCCATATTTCGACGTTGAAAAGTTAATGTTTACAAAATGAACCGAACATCTGAACGGACGTAGTACCAGACAAACCCCGCCAAAACAAAATTACAAATATGGGATGGCGGTGACGTCACCAAAGTACGGAGAGCCATTTGGTCCAAGAAGGCTTCGTAATGCGCTTTACAAATACGACTTGTCCACAGCGTCACATGCACACATTATCAACCATAAAGTCTGTGTTATCGTCCCATAAAAGAAAATATGTTGGAAGAGCAATTTTATATTTAACTTCTGAATATAATCTAAAAAAACGAAAGTGGTTTAATTACACCTTGCTGAAAGAATAGAATACTCAAAATGTTGGGCAGGTTTTTGTCGATTGTACTACTAATGACTAATTATCCCAAAAGTCTTGACATATTTGACTTCAGCGCTAATATCCCTTTATGTACTAAATACAGCTGGTATAAAAATATAAGATAAAACAATATAGTAAGACAGGCAGTTACTGATGACTTCCATAGTGGCTGAGCATAACTCTCTGAAGGGAAAATGTAGTAACCCTCGTATGTAAACGATCAACTCTCCTTTGAGGCCCATCTGTGTTTTAGCAGTATTAGAGGTCCTAAACTTTTCTTCATTTATAATATGAAAAGATCAGATTAACACTTTGAGCAGACAAGTGACAAAGAGAAGTAGAAAATTTATTGCAGTATTTGTTCCACCAAAAGGTCTGGATCCCCTTTCCTCGTATTACTAGGGTGACCTAATACAACAAAATCTACATTTACAAAATATCCTCCTGCAATAGGCCACATATACTGCATGCGTAGTTCGAAATAGAATAAATTATGTTCAGAGAACTCTGCCATTGTACAGCATGGACAAATAAAAGTGAACAAAAATAAAAATTCTTATTTTTTCTTTTTCCTTCAAATATCTAAAAGCTAAAAGGAAAAAACCATCAGGGTGCTAGTATATAATAAACTCCAAAAACACTTTAATAAGAACATCAAAAAGACTAATTTCCAACATTCACTTAAGGTTTTATTCTTTTTTTTACAGCTTTTTTGTCTTCAGAGATATAAACATTTTAGGTTTTTGTTGTGTTAAACTATGATACAGTGGGAGTAGAAATGAGCGACTAGAATCTGCTGCACAACAGCGAAGGAGCTCCCACAACAATGTTGACGAAACATTTCCCTCCAGGTCTCTTTTCTGATAGCCTTTTTAAGGGATAATTTGGGTGAATTATTCCTTTAATGCCTTCCGGATTCTATCCTCTGCACTTGTACACAAACAAAACGTGAGCAGTCCCTCTAATATAATAAGTCTTATGTTTTCTGTCATTTTTGCAAGAATAACTCATGTAAAAGTATGTAGTGTCAAATATTCTTGCCCTCTTGTGTTTTCTTACAAAAATGAGGAAGGAGAGGAGCAGGGTATGAATCCAGTGAAGTTTGGCTGTGTTGTTGGAGGTGGCAGGTTGAGGAGGAGGAGGAGCAGGAGCAGGGAAGAGGAGGATTTTGATAAAGTAGAAATGGAGAAGGGGGACCAAAAAAACCCAAAAAAAACACCACACGGGAGCCATTAGCTAGCTCCTCCTTCCCGCGCCGCATACAGTGAGCGTAAAGTCTGTACTATTTTGTTGCTCAGTTTGTGGTTGCTGGTCAAGGCAATCTTCTTGTAAATGATGTCCGATTCCTTAATAGTGTCCACCCAAGGCACCAGTTTGCGGCCATCGCGTTTCTTGGCCTCTGCCCATGGCCCCGAGTAGGAGCCGGCCATCCAGTGGATGCTATATCCGTTGGAGATCTTCTGGATGACTCGAGCTATTTGCGGCCGGTCCTTGTATTTGGGGCAGGAAAGAGCAATCACATCCATAGCATCCACCGTCTCGTTCATGGAGTCACCTGCTCGCCTTGGCCTTCGAGAGGACTGCAGGTACGACAGAAGGGAAAAAAAAAAAAAAATGTTGCACTATTTTCACGCACATATTTAAATTGTATTTTATAAATAGTGTGCGTTTCAGTTTCTCTCACCCCTGGCGTCCTTTCGTCGCCGTCGCTGTAATCGTCATCGGTCTCCGGACCTGCCTGATTGCGCGGACTGGGTCCTGACATGGGGCCAGAGCCTCCCAGTAGGGCGCTTATGGCTTTGTTTCGGATGTTAGCGCTGGCAGATGCTTCTCCCTCCTCATCCTCCTCATCTGGGTCCAGATGTTCCATCAGAACCTTGAACTGTTTTGGAGTGAAAAGACAAGAAACTGACTTTGAGATGCGTAACTTTTTTCAAGCTACCAGAGAAAAAGCTTGGACAGAGCGTAAGAAGTGAAGCGAGGTTGTACATGGACACTGTTATGGAAGATGCCAGCATCCACTTCAAAAAAAGACGAGCCACCACCATGCGAGTGTCAAAGTCAGTCAGTCAATCATGAATAAATAAATAATGAAATAAAACTAAATGCATACTAAATAAATCAAAGGAATGGAGATTCCTCTACGACCTGAAAACGATATAATAGTCAAAACATCATTTAACATGAATACTGGACTTCCTTGAATGCTAACCCTGCTCTTTTCACATTTCACTGTGTACTGTTAACTTTGTATTTAAACGCTGATGTAAGTAACTGGTGAGAAGACCCAAAAGAAACAGATTAACTGGCTGTCGGTAATGTCGGCCTACATCACACATTGACAATGAAAGTCTGACACAGCTTTATTACTTACATCTAGGTACTGTCTGACAATCCGCTTCTTCACATCTGTCGACAGCGCGGCGCGGGCCATGTTGTTGGCGATGAAGTCGATGGTTTGTCGTGGGTGGAAGAGAGCGGTGCTTTTCCTGTTCACGGCCTTATCGTACACCTTGGCTGACTCTGTCGGAGAGTACTTCTGAATTTTACTGTGGACGACAAAATAAAAAAAGTTACAGAAGTCATGGAATTCCCAAAGTGGGTCAAACTGGTCAAACTAATCCACACTTTAAAAATGTAGATATATTTATTTCTGGTTTTATTATGTAGCTCTTACCCGTCAGAGAATCCATATTGGTTCTTCAGATGCTGCTTGAGCACCAGCAGCAACAGGATGCCTTGAACAGCATTAGCAAAGTCCAGGAGGCCTGTGGGATTGTCGGGGACGAGCCTCATTACTTTTTCCACGTCCTCCAGATCCAAATCCTCCAGATCAGATTCGGACTCTGAGCTCTCCGGGTCAGGTTTTCTGGCCTTTTTGGGCCGCCGTACCACATCGCCATTGTCACCGTGTTCTTCCCCACCGCTCCTCGGAGAATCGCAGTTCATCCTTTCCTCTTCGTCCTCTCCATCCGACGTGTTCTTCCACTCCTTTACCTTCTTCTCCTTACGCCTCGGCTCCTTTAGCAGAAGCTACACAGGAGAAATAAATAAAAACTCCATATAAAGACTTGCAACTATAAAAATGCATTTCAAGATTTGTTCAGCTCTATGATGCAGACACATATACACGCAAGCTACTTTTAAACATGCTGTCCTACCTCTTTGAAGGTTTGCAACAAGTTGCTGCCAGAGACAGACAGGGTGATGTCTATGTGGTGCATAATGAACAGAGGCTCCTCCTGGCTCTGGTATGGGAAACAGGCCAGGTTGTCTGCTACAAACAGCAGCATGTTTACATCCATCTTCTGCAGAAAGAAAGAAAAGAAAAGAGGGGGAAAGCATGATCGAGAGTCGGTGCCTGACACAAACTCACACTGCAATTTAAATTTGAACTAGTAAAATAATGGGATTTAACATCTTTCGACATAATAGTGTTTGTCATCTCTTTATTAAAGGTAGGTTGTTTCTATCCCCAAGAGTCATATTTAACACGTGCTCATTTTATTACATTTCTCGCCAAGACACATTGCTAGCAAATGTGTTAAAAAAAATTATTTGATATTCACTTAGCATGCTGTTAATGAGGAAATACCACTTTACAATGAGCTGTGTGAAGATGAGTGCAGGTTTACTCACAGAACTGTCATCGAAGAGGTTCAGCAGTGAGATGAGGAAAGCCCTCCGGTGCTGCCGGTTCCCCCGGATCATACTGAAGAGGTGGGAGCATTGTGCCGAGGGTGTCTCGTCGTGTCTGAAACCTCTTATGATGGTCCTACGGGACGACTCGATGGCCTGCTGCAAGTTGTATGACATCTTCATCCCGGCCACTGCCTTCATCTGTGACAGAACGTGTTGAAAGAAAAGTGTTACACACACACTCAGCATCTCAGAGAACGGTAGAGACGGCTGCTGCCACTCAAATACGTGTTACAGTACTTCCTCCAGAACTACAAAAGCACCATCTACACTGTGAAACAAGAAAAACTATTGGATACAGAATCTGGCTGAAATGCCTTTAACATGCGTGTTCCCGGAGGTTTGTCTGAAGGCCATCAATGGAGGAATAAAGTTCCACCACAAACCATTTCATGCAGTAAAGCAGCTATAACACAAGTGATCCGCAACTGTTTGTCTTTATTCTACATCATCATGGAGATGCTGTCAGATCACAAACACTCTACCAACGGCGCTAAGATGTTGCTGGATGATTGAGTGATCCTCTGTTGGTCCCTTTGTACTGAAGGGGAGAGCTGAGAGGCTAAGTTAGAATTCCTTATCGAGGTACTAATCGAGCATCGAACACCAACTCACATGGATGAATCCTGTGTACTTCTTGTCGATCTCCAGCAGCTGCTGGTCAGATTTGTTCCTCATGCTGGGCTCCGGGTCGGTTGCCATTGCAATGAGGTAGGGTACACACTGCACAGACGGGACAAGAAAGATGTGACGCTCACATGCATGTGTTCATATTTCTGTTCATCAAACAATTTAAATGGAAGTAAAAGAGGGTCTATCTACACTACAGAACATGAAAAGTGTAAATACAAATTGTTTAATATTGATATTATATTAACATATCACCTAAATCTGTGAGCCTAATTCTATGTCAAACATGTGTTATTAAAATGGGATTTCATTATTTATCAATTCCTAGAGGTGGAATTGTGTTTGACAGCTTGTGGCTCTTACCTGCACAGGATGGATGAGACCCTGGTTGAGTGTGAGAGCGATGACGTTGAGAGCAAAGTGCCGTACACTGGACTGGGTGTGGAAGAACGCCTCCAACACCTG